CACAAGAATGACAGTTACTAACAAATAACATCATATTCTAAGCAGACGTGTTTAAAACAGCATAAATCACAGAGTAACATTTGTATTTCAAACAAATGGGAGTCTTATTAGCAAATTTTAACAAATTTCACCTCCACATTCTGCAGACCGTTTTTGTAAGTCTTCTTAAACTAAGCTAAGATGAACTCATACTTTCATTCTTACTTTTTTCACATTCCCAAGCCATCATCTTTGGAGGTTCATTAACTCTAAGATGAACTCTTACTTTCTTCACTGACACCCGTTAGTATGTCGGCTAATGTTGTGATTAGTCTTTTCTATTACCACAATGGTGTGTTTTTGTGTATATGGATAGCATACTGTCTGTGTTGCTTGTTTGTTTTGATGAGTATGAGTCGTAATCTTTTTAATTAAAAATAGGATTCTGAGTAACAATGTGGGAAACATTTGATCACATTTTGCTCTTAACTGTGGCAATAAATGCATCTTAGATTCGGGCCAGCGACATTTTGATAAGTAACATTGAGCTTTCTATTATTTTTTTAAATAAAAATAGGTTTCTCAATAAAACTTCTGGATAAACCATCTAGTCCGGCGTGTACTGGGACTGAAATTCAGCCAGGGACTTGGAGAGGGAGAGGCTTTTTATGCGAGCGCTCTTTAGGTGGCGGGCATTTTTTGCAGTTATTTTAATACGTATTATTTGTTGTACACAGTGTGTCAGATGAAGACCTTCAAGAAACGTCAGAATGACAATTGTTTGTCTTACATGAGCTTGCGAGGACGCATGGAGGCGAGCGACCCAGGAAATGGCTGGGAGAGAAGTCCCGTCACATGGCCTGTGAAGGTTACGATGATAAGTTGTAGATAACTGTAGGTAATATCATGAATTTCATAGGATCCTTAAATGTCCCCCCCGCCAGTTGCACCTCAGGAGACCAGTCTGTTCTCTGCACCTCCATCACTGTCTGGTTTGGATCTGCCACCAAAAAGGACAGGAGCAGACTACAACGGACAGTCAGGACTGCAGAAAAGATCATCGGTGCCAACCTGCCCTCCATTCAGGACATTTCCAGAGGCAGGAAACATCACTGCAGATCCATCTCACCCCGGACACAACCTGTTCCAGCTCCTCCCCTCTGGGAGGCGCTACAGAGCACTGTACGCCAAAACCAACAGACTCAGGAACAGTTTCTTCCCACAAACATTGTGAGCATTGAACAATCCAAAGTCAAATTCCTGGTATGTGTTCACATACTTGACAAATAAAACTGATTCTGATTCTGTCTGTTGTGGTCCTGTGATCCTGTGCAGGCTTTGTCACATTTGGTCTGCTACTGCGAGGATAATCAGCTGTTCTTCCTGTCTCCCTGTATCACTGTATGAGGCGTCTCGCAGTACGGACATTGCAATCTATTGCCCTGCAACATGGGCAGTCCTAACACCTCTCGCAGCATGCCTAGTGGAGCGGTAGACTAGCCACCTCTAGAGCCCACTAAAGCGTACACACTGAACCTTTGAATAAAAGTTCAGGTTACACAGTTAGATTTGGAGAAAAGGCTCTGCAGCGACGAGGACTCTGCTGAGAGAACTGACCCTTACGATTATTTAATTATATATTTAATATTTAATATTTAATTAAATTACTAGATATTCATATTTATCTCAGCGAGGCAAGAAACCATTGCCATTCATTCCTTAATCAAAGAAGTCAAAACTACATGCACACAGACAGAACCAGTGTCTCCACAAGAACTAAGCTGCACATCACATGTACATGTTAGTGCTTAAACTTTTATAACCTCAGATCCCTGTGCACATACGAATCACCACATGCTCCTCCAGTGACTCTAAGTTTGGCACTTTTAAATGTCAGATCTCTTTTAAATAAGACCTTTCTTGTTAATGATTTGATCTTAGATGATAATATTGATTTTATGTTTTTAACCGAGACATGGCTTAACACAGATGGCCCAGCCACACTTATTGAGGCCTCACCACCAAACTACCACTTTGCATACTCCACTAGGAAAGGCGAGAAGGGTGGGGGTACAGCAACCATCCTGTCAACCTCATTTGTTTTTAAGGATACTGCTTTTGGTGAATACACATCCTTTGAATAGCACGCACTTAATCTTAGCAGCAACCCTCCAATACTGTGTATAGTAGTTTACAGGCCTCCCAAACGAAGTCCTTCTTTTATGTCAGATTTGTCAGATTTACTCTCAATCATCCACACAAATTTTAACAGAGTTTTAGGCGATTTTAACTTGCACATTGACAATACTTCAGACTTTTATCCTGGGGAATTTTTAAACTTGTTTAACTGTATGAATTTTATCCAGCACGCTACAGAACCCCTACAGAAAATTGTTAACCTGGGAGTTATTTTTGACTCAGATCTCAGTTTTGAGTCGCATATTAGAAATATTTCTAAGACCGCTTTTTATCATCTCAAGAACATTTGCTAGAGTACGACCCTTTCCCTCTCAAGCAAATATCCAGACACTTACCCATGCTTTTATTACCTCCGGGATTGATTACTGTAACGCTCTGCTTTCTCGTCTTCCAGAAAACAAAATCTCTAAACTGCAGCTGGTTCAAAAGGCTGCTTTCTGACCAGAAAGAGAACACACCTTACCCCTATCCTAAAGTCTCTGCATTGGCTTCCAGTTAATTTTAGAATTGATTTTAAGATCCTTTTACTACTTTATAAGTCATTTAATGGTATTGGTCCAGAATACTTAACAGATTTACTGTCACTTTATGAACCTTCTAGAACCCTCAGGTCCTCTGGTAGTAGCTTTCTAATTATTCCAAAAGCCTCAACTAAAACTTATGGTGAGGCGTCCTTTCAATGTTATGGCCCGCGTTTGTGGAACTCCCTTCCTGCTGAGCTGAGAGCAGCAGGAAATCTGGAAATGTTTAAAGGCAAACTAAAGACATACCTATTTAACCAAGCTTTTAACTGAGCTGTATTTATTTGATTTAGTTTAAACGTTATTTATTTATCATACTTTTGCTATTCATGGGCTGCTTTTCTACTGCTTTTTGTTCTGGGGTCCTGGGGTTTTGGGGTTTTGGGGTTTTAGGGTTTTCGGGTGGCGGGGATGTTTTTACTATTGTTCTGAAATGGCTCTGTAGTGTGAAGCACTTTATACTACATGTATTTGTATGGAAATTGCTATATAAATAAAGACTGACTGATTGATTTCATAGTCAAATACAGGTATATTGTAAAAGTGATTGCAGTAAGAACTGTTCCAGAAACAGATTTTCTGATGTCAAATTTGATAACAGATGGAAAAAAAAAAGGTCATGACAAACAAATCTTTGTGAAAGACGTCTCTAGATTTAACACCTTCCTGATGATGACCAAAAAGTCTGTTTCTCAATGATATTGTTTTGGGTCATGTGATCACTGCAAAAGGGAAAAAGAAAAAGCCCTCTCACCCCAAAGCAAATTGAAGCAATTCAGACCATCCTGCAATGAGAGACAAAGAAACAGGTAAGTTAACTTTTTATGGATGACAGTGCTCACATTAAGGCACCATGGGCAGAAACCGCACATGGGGAAGGCCTGAGATTTTATGTTGATTTAAAGCTGGCTTTTTAATGTCCACCGACCCTTAAATCTACCAGACTGTAACAAAACTTTAACTTGACCGTTGATGAAAAAAGTCATGTACCCCGACTTCAGTGTTGACCACGGGGGATGACTGAGACCTGTTTTTCATCCAAACTGGACTCTGTTGCAGCCAAACTGCCTGAGAGCTGTGGCAGCTGCTGAAAAAGCAATCACTGCATCACATTGTGGGTTACTCAGACTTGACATTGTTGGTCCTGCATGCAGTGTCAATGATTTGTGTGAATGACAAAAAACATCTCATTTTTCCACAGCCAGGTGTCTGAGGTTCAACGCCGTGCTGCTTGACATGCCTAACATCACTGTTAAGAGATGCACTGTACTAAATCCTGCTACTCTCCTGCCAACTCTAGATGAAGGACAGCCGCATGATTATGTTGCAGTGATTGCCGAAGCCTGCTCCCCAAGAGCAGACTTACAGGAGACTGCTCTAACAAACCCAGACATAGAGTTGTTTGTGGACGACTCAGCATCACGTGATCCAGCAACTGGTAAAAATAGAGCAGGTTCTGCAGTAACAACTTTGCATGAGACAATTTTGGCAAAACCGCTCCCTTCAAACTATTCTGCACAGGAACTTTCTGACATCCACAGGCAAACTGATTGTTGAACTTCTTGGCGCTGTGCTGTTGCCTAAAATGATTGCTGTGTGTAAATGTGACGCTCACACTAACAAACCTAGAGATCCTATCTCACAGGGGAATGCCAGAGCCACCTTGCAGCAAAGGCTGCAGCAAAACAAACACTAACCACCCAATGCACTGTTTTAACTGACCCGCCAATGACTCCTACAGCTGACTTGCAGGAATTGCAGGCGAGAGTGAGTCCAGAGGAGAGAGCTGTTTGGAAAAGAGCAGGCTGCACCATTTCTGACAAAGTGTGCTATGGGCCTGATGGGAAGTAAGTATCTGTTTCCTTATTATGCTAAGTTGGCACACGGTAAAGACCATGTATCACGAGGGGAGTATGACAGGAACTGAACAGATACTGGTTTACAAAGGGGTTCTACAACTTCTCCCAGAAACCTTGTCAAAGTTGCATGATTTGTGAAAATAACAATGTGGGGCGGCCGATTCAGATCCCACAGGCGGCACACCCACCCCCAGACAAACCATTTGAGCATCTGCAAATGGACTTCACTGAACTGACACCGTCACAGGGGAAGAAATATTGTCTAGTCAGAGTAGATATGTTCTCTAAATGGATAGAGGCATTTCCATGGTTAACGTCAGGGTAAGGATCCAGGGAATGCATTACGTCAGTGACGGTCCTCACAAAGATAGAAGTACAAGGTTGTGTGTGTGGGTGGGGAGGGGTGGAGTCTATAAAGTGTTTGCCAGGACCTTTAAGAGTATAGATATCTTTCAGAGCTCTTTTCCTTTTTGCTCAGACCTTTTGTCAGCTTTTACATTTCTGCAGCCTTTTCAGACTCAGGAAATCTGTTTGGTTTCTTTCCTCTTTTTATTCTCTTCTATCTCAAAGTGTTTCTGGACGTAGGCTTTGTTTGTTTTTAAGCTTTGCTAAATAAAAGGTTGATGATTCTCTGGACCTGATCCTTTCATCCCCTCATCCAAGGCTTCCTTCACAACATTTCAGTAAGGCCCCTTGTTTTCTAACAAGTCTCTAAAATGTCAGGAATGCTAATCTCTGTTCCTCAAGAGAGGGAGCAGCTGTAGAGGTGTTAGGACAGGAACCTGAGGCAGAGGAGAAGCCTAGTGCGAGGGGGGACATTTCTGTTCTTGGAGCCAGTGGTGGACAGTAACTAGTACATTTACTCATGTACTGTACTTAGTAGTAGATTAAAGGTATGTACTTTTTTACTTTCTACTTCTGCTCCATCTCAGTGGGAGATGTTGTACTTTTTACTTCTCTACATTTATCTGACAGCTTCAGTTACTTTACAAATTAAGCTTTTTACACACAAATCATATGAAGAAATATCTTTTGTTCAATTTATTTAAGTTAAATTAAACTGGAGTTGTTCCAATTCCGATACCAGTATCAGAAATGCCTCCGATACTGCAGAAAATGCTGGCATCGGTATCAGCGAGTACTTGAGTCCAGGCACCGATCCAATACCACGTAATTTATTGGAAATAGGAATCTATTTACTGCACTTTATATTTTTATAATTATTCCTATATTTATTTAGTTTAGTTGCTGTTGCACTACTGTTTTATACTGTTCTATTTAAAAATTTAAATGCCTTTATTTTACAATATTGTGGCTGCTCTTTAATAAAAAAAAAAAATGACTCCTATATTTATTTAAGTTGCTGTTGCAATACTGTTTATACTGTTCTATTTAAAAATAAATGGCTTCCGTTTGCTGTATTCATTCACGTTTTACAAAGGGTTTGACCTGAGCAAGGCCCTACCACAATGATAATCATATCACAGTCATGCAGGCGTAGTACGATCTTTTTCTTTTTTTTAACACACTGGTATCGGTATCAGTACTCGATATCAGCCGATACCCACAGCATGAGTACCTGACTCGGTATTGGGAGGGAAAAAATGGTATCTGTAAATTATACTCCCCAATATATTATATTGTTTTTAGTACAGCAGAAACGACAGTTAGTTGATTGGCAGAACTTACTTGGCTATGAGGAAGCGCCCAGTAACGTTGCAACTTTGGACAATCTTTAGAAACAATGATGATTTAAAAAATACTTTATGAAATGACAGAAATACACCATATCTGGAAACATCAGGACTCTGTCTATATGTGTATGTGCAATTTGCTCTGGTCGCAGCAGAAGTGAACTTTTAAACAGTTTTTAATAACAACAACATTCTTTACACACTACTAGATGATGCCTGAACATTTGGCCAAGCTGACTTGCTGTGACGTGGCTAGCGCACTCAGTTCTGATTTAGAGTGTGTGCTGTGTATTAAAGTAAAACCTCACAAAGACTGTAATCTATGTCATCTAGGTTGATCATTTATTCTCACGTTCACTTACAGAAACATATGGTATAGGAACTGTTATAACCTTAAAGGAAAGTACTAGCAAACAGGAAACACCTTAGGAGTTGTGTAATCCCTCATGGGGAAAGATTAATGGTTTTGCTTGTTACATTCTGGGGAACAGTATTCTAGCTGCTAAGTCGTCAAATGAATGGTTGTGTGTGTGGTTTCTCAGATTCGCTAACTCTATGTTAGTGCAGCCAGTAGGAAGTGCGTATTTAGATTCCTCTTAAAACAGACAAAGAGAGGTCTCTGGAACCGCAGGAAAAAAGCCACGGCAGCTATTCATGTAAAAAGATTTGCTGCTTTGCCTTTCGATTATGTTAATGTCATTTTAATTACTTTGAGTTTTGGACTGACAGAACCAGCACGTGAAGGTGTGATTTCAGTCCAGCATTTTGATAATCAGCTTTTCAGATTTTACTCAAGGCGCCGCCGCTGCTTTCATCAGATGCAGTCGGTGAGATCGGCTGAATGGGTTTAGTGCAGTTTAGTGTCTTGTTTAGTCTGATTTACTACAAATTAAATAAAACTTGGTGATACACTTGAGTTTCATCTGTTATCTGTCTTCATTTTGAAGACTTCAAAATCAGATCAGTCCAATAAGCTGCAGCGTCCAATCAGTAACTGATATCCAATTAGGGGGCATGTTGGTCAATAAAAGACTTCCGCAAAGGCTGTAAGGTAAGTTTATCATCCCCGAGGGGCAATTTGCATTACAGCCAGCAGTAACAAATATATTTATCAGACCACAACAATAAACACAACCACAGTACAATATAGTGTACTTGTGTATCCTGCTGCTAAATCACTGTCACACCGTTACATCAGCCACTGTTGATGTAAAAACAGACACTGGTTTTGCCAGAGAGATCTGTTTCGTGGTCCGCTCTGTAGAGTTGGAAGCCAGCCAGCTGTACCGCAGAGTCCGGTATCAATCCACATAGCCACGTCTCTGTAAGAACTGAAGATGAATAAAAGTCCACCAGTACCTGAAGTTCATCTAGTTTATTGCACAGTGAGCACACGGAGAGAAATATTCCCGGTATTGGCGTCCTCTTCTGTGTAAGGGGTGGTGATAGAGCAGTGGATAAGACACATGTCTTTGGTATGAGAAACCCGGGTTCAAATCCACTGTGAGACCCCAGTTTGTGCGACCTCTGACATATATAGCAATTGTAAGTCACTTTGGATAAAATATATAGTATATATTTGCACCAGTGTACCAGAACTCCTCCTCCTCTAGCATTTCACCACATGAACAACAGCATTGACCAGAACATCCAATAATTCCACTGATGACACGAGAAAAGTTTGAATCAAGTCTCCTGATGTTTATGAGCTCTTCTCTGCTGAAAGGGCTCCATGTATTACAGCACAGAGCTAAGTTAGCAAAACAAATGCACCAATAATTGGTTTATTGAACCAGGGTAACATCACATAAGATCATATACATACACAAGACAAGGACATACTTAAATGAATAAAGACAAAGGGAATCCAAAGAGCTAGGAATTGTCCCTTTGTTGCCAGGCCAAATCCAACAAACCCAGTCTCATCCTCCGAGATGCATCCAGATAGTCCAAAAAGGGGTCCCATGTTCGGTAAGAAAGAAATGGTCAGTCCAGTTACCTGACTACAGACTTGCCTCTCATTCCCTGGTGCTGGCAGTAAGTCAGCCTGCCGAGTGAAGACAGACTCTGGGTGAGCACTGAACGATTAGTTCATTCCCGCTCCACAGTAGCCGAGCTGTCACGTGACAAATGAACGACTCAAACCCAGAGACCCAGAGTCCTGAACTAATCAATTCTGTTTCCTGTGCTGACGGAGACCTTGCAGCTGCCGTGTGACGAGTGAACGTAAGAGTCCAAGATCCTTAACGCATGCGTGAAAATGAACGAATTACTCCCTCAGACGACCCGTTCCTCCTGAGTCACATACAAGATCAAATGAACGAAACGTTCTTTGAATGACACAACACTAGTTCCAACCTGATGCCTGCTAGGATTTCACTTGGTTGGCTTTCGTCTTTTACTGGAACAGCAGCATTTCCAGCAGACTCCAGGGAAATTTTTGACTACAAGTTTTTGGCGAGCCATCGATTATTCAGACAAAGATTCTTAAAGTGGTGAGGGGTTGGATCGGGCTTTAGCTGGCCTAGCCCAGTGTGGTGGTGTAAGCTCAAGAACAAAAGAACATGGGGATCTTACGAACGTGGTTTACTTCAGCAGGCTAACAGCAGTACAGCAACATGGTGTGTAGTAGCTTCACCGTATCTATATTCAGTAGTAAAACAGTCTTGATACTACGACAGTGCCGCCTAGTGGTATAAATTAGTAGTTGCATATAAACGATGAACACAACACACGGCCTTTTCTCTTCATCACTCCACAGCAGGTAGGACGTTCTGCTCACTGAGAGGCTGTCCAGCAGCATGACGGACTCATGAGCTTCATCTTCATCAGTTCCCCCCGATCCTATATATTCTTTAGAAGTATTGAATGTTTGAATAAGGTCACATTAATACATCTATATTAATCTATCTATATTAAAGGCAAAATACCAAGTGCTTCACAGAGTTTGGCTCAATTTAAAGTTCTCAGCTGGTTTCAAGACATTGTGATTTAGGTTGTGGCCGTGTCCTACGGGACTAGGCTAAATGCTTTTCCCAGAAGACTAACATTCCCATTTGGAGGGTTGCAGATGGCAGTAAATCTGACAGAACAGAATCAGTACAGGCATTTACTCACATGAAGTCTGAACAGTCTGTCTGCTGCTCTGTCTCCCTCTGCAGGCAGAAGACATCATGGGAAACCGCCAGTGCACCGTTGAGATTGAGAATAAGTGCTCTGAGTACACCCTGTGTAACCCGAAGTAAGTCTGCTTTAGTTTCTCTCTGAGTGTCTTTAAACCTTTGCTAAATGTTTTTATGAGAGGATTAAGATCAGCTGCTAACGGCTACATGTTTTGTTGTGAATTTTTTGGAGCATTATAGCCTAAATTGTTATCATTTATTACTAGAGCAATGGTGGTCTACATTGTCATCATTTAAATTGTTATTTTATAGTGTAAAGTTTAACTACTGAGTGTTTAATGAGTGTGTTCAAACTCATATTTTATTCTTATACTCTGTGTGTTTATCATACATTATTCCTATACTCTGTGTATTCATGAACGTGTGCTTTTTAATGAGCAGAGAAGCTGCTCAGGCCGCGCAGGCAAAACCTAGCCAACCGTAACCCGCTCATTAGAAGCAAGGCACATGCAGAAAGTCACGTACGCCAGGGCTGAGATCATCGCGAACTGAAGCCAAGAATGAGATCATGACATGTTGTGATTTATGGCGCCTGGTACGGCTAGGTACTGCATGCAACCAAGCTTTGCGCTGCCGAAAGAAACCTTGTATGAGACAAAGCACTCTCATGGTTGGCATTGTTAAATCATGTAATTGTTCATTGAATCACGTTATACATGTATGAAATATGTTATTCCTTATTAATTCTTTTAAAAAATGTTTAAGTTTTAATGGTGTCAAACTATGCCTATATAACTTTTAAAAAAAGACGGTGGGACTGAAGTTGAAACATTTTCTAATCCAATAATGTAAAAAATATAAAGAGAGATAAATGGTAACAATAATTACATATAATAATAGTTAAAAGGTGAAAATTGTAACATTAATGAAAGGGTTAATTTGGTAAAACAGTACAAGAAAAAGGCCACTAGATGGCAGTAGAGGATAAGAAATTCACCAAAGGGGAGGAGTGGTCAGCGAACACCATAGGTGGAGTTAAGGAGTAACGCCCACCTGAAAGGAGGGACAAGGTGGAGCTTAAGGTGAATATAAGGCGATGTTCGCTGACCACCAACTCGGTTCCATCCTGAGGCCTGCAGGGATGTTGCTCGGGTTTATCTGTCCTTTATTGGAATAAACTCTTTTGCACCGACTCTTGACCGTCTCCAGTGAAGTTTTTGACTACGCCGTCTTTTGACTAAAGAAGAAATCTAATAGAGTAATTTTATTGAGTTTATTACGTTGGTTAGGGTAGGGACCAGGTCTTTTACTGGCCCAGCCGGTCCTTATTTCCGACCCGACAGTTTCCCTTTTAATAGAACTAAGCTAACAGTTTTCCCCTGCTTCCAGTGTTTGTTCACACAGTGTTAAAGTCGTGACGTCTCTTCTCTCTGTCTCCTCAGGGTGTTCACTTATGGTGGATCCTATGAGAAGCCTTTGTCACCAACTCTTGGTCCCTCTGAATCTTGCAGCGCTCTGTTCATCAATACTCCAAACACAACATATGGAGCTGTTGGCGTCCTCACCTATGAGCTGCAGAACAAATCCACAAAGGAATCTGATGGGAATATGGCCGTCATGTACTCTGTTCCTTATGACTACAACCAGTACTCTAACTTGTACGCAGTGGGAGTCTTTAGTATGAATATAGAGTGTGATTACAACCTTTATAACATGATGTATAATGAGGCAGAGATAGATTTTGTCAGACGTAAAGCTAAAGACAGTCTGACTTACAAAGGCAAAGCTGTCACCATCAGAGCCACCATGTCCGACAGCTACACATCTGTCATCAAGGTGCAGGTGTTTTCACATTCTTCCATGAACAAGTAATCCCAGTTGGCCCACTAGTACGGTCATTTCACTTTTGTGAGTTTATCTTTCTGCTGTCTCCTTAGATACCGTATTCTGGAACTGACTGTGTGTAATGACAATAAAGATTAATCTAATCTACTAAATATCTGTGTGAACACATTTACAAAACAAATTTTATACAGCAAAATAAAAAACTAGAAAAATTACATTTCAAGCAGAAATAGTTGGATAAAATTGTCAGCAGCTTTCTGTCTGTAACACGAGCTCAGACTAGGAATGAGTATCACTATAAGGGTACATGTCTGTTCTGAATCACTCTGAACAGAAACAACAGGTCTCAGTTTCTGAAATGGAAAAACAAACTGTGGAACAGTGTGCAAAATATTAAATAAATACAAAATATTTATTAAATGAAAACAAAATAACCCAAAACAACATATGTGCATGTTTGTTGAAATGGAAATCTGTCCTTTAGTGAGTCTTCTGAAATAAAGAGTCCAATCCAGACGTCTTTTAAGGGTTTTATTCTGAAGGGTCAGACAGACATACAGAGTGCAACCTGAAATGAAGGCCCAGCAAGGACAGTCAGATAAGGAAACTTCTTTCCCATGGAAAACTTCACCTAGCTGTAACATAATAAAATAATCAAATACCACACAGTGAAACACTCTATTCTGATGAAGCATGCAGGGTGAAACAGTAAATACAGTAAAATATCAAGTTTCCATCACAGAAGAGAAAATAAAAACAACCACGATGTGGGCTGGTTATAAATAAATAGCTAGACTTTGTGTAGCTACTGTTAAATGTTAGAGGATATTATATGCACATGCAGTATTGCTGTCTAATAAATGTTTTAAATACTTAAGATGTTATTTTACTAATGACTATCTATCTTAAAATATAGGAGGTGAGCTAAAGTTTAACAGAATGGAGCTCTTTTTTTTGTCTGACAATCAGTCCGCCGACCCTTATGGGGGTCTGGGGGCGACTATATTAAGGACTGTCACCTCTCTGTGATCGCCATCTTTTTTTTTTCACACGTAAACTCGTCCCGATTCACCAACTCTAGCATTTGCTCTTTGTAACGTTTAGTTCCTGATAGCAGTATTGCATCATATAAAGTAGGCTATATTACAGTAAAGATAAAACATCAGCGCTCTACTTTCACAGTTTTATCCTACGACACCTGTTAGTCCGACATTATGCAGAGATAGATGTCAGTGAATACACATTCGAAAAACACTCTTTCATTTCCAGTCTTTTGATAGGAAGCATTCACACATCCTCCAAGAATTCCCAACCCCCGCTACAATAGCGATACTGCAAATTTTTAACCTAGTTTTTAATAGGATCCAATATTATGTAGTAACACATTCTCACAACTAGGTGTTGCACTACTGCATGTCAGAGTCAGAGACTCACAACCCATATTACGCCGTCACAAGAGGAAGGAGGAGTGTCTGTATTATATGCTTTAAAATCTTGATATTCCTCTCAATACATATTGATAGGGCAGAAGGATGATAATCCACTATACTTAATTTACTTGTATATAGAGAGAACAACTGTAGGTAATATCGTGAATTTTATAGGGTTCTTAAATGTCTGTGATGCGCAAGCACCTCTACCACAGTTTTATCCTGCGACACCTGTGAGTCGCTTTTTTTCTCCTAGCTGTGTAAGACCCTATATTACTTCAATAAAATAAATGCCCTTTCATCTCCTCTCTGACAACCCACATATTACTCCAGTCATTATCCCTTACATTTACAAGACCTCAGTCTATAAGTTTGGAATCAAACAAGATTCCAATCAACTCCGATCAATAAGAAAATCACTCACTCGCGCATTTGAATCAGCTTCTTACTGAGCTTAATTGTCATTATTATTTACTATAAGACAGTTTAATCACAGTTAAGAAAAAGCACTGAATCTCGTCACCCCACCCTCCTAAGGGACTGACCAAACTCCTCTTATCACAACCAGGCATGTAAGCGACTCAGGCTGTGTCCGAAATCCCCACTCATTCACTATATAGTGAGCTCGCCATTTTTTAGTGCTGTCCGAATGTATAGTGATAATTATTATAACCTATATAGTCCACTCAATGTATCCCAGAATGCATTTTAAATAGTAGTGTACATAGAGGAATAGATAGAAAAAAGTGATTGTCCGATGGCAATGACGTAATTAACAGCGCCGAAATAACAATCGGAGTAGTGTCCGAAAGTGATGTTTTAATAATGCGAGTGAGCTCACTATATAGTGCTCTACGTTCATCTCCCTACATAGGGGGTAGGGAGTAGTGAATGAGAGGGGATTTTGGGCACAGCCTTACGCAGCATATTATGCAGTCATTCCAACACCAGAGGAAGCAAGATTCTCTGCAATATATGCTTTAAAATTTTGATATTTGACCAGTATATTGGTGAGGCATTTCTCCCTCTACACCAACGACTGCACCTCAAGAGACCCATCTGTCAAACTCCTGAAGTTCGCTGACGACACAAAGGTCATCGGACTCATCCGGGATGGTGATGAGTCGGCCTACAGACGGGAGGTTGATCAGCTGGCTCTCTGGTGCGGTCTGGAGCTTAACACGCTCAAAACTGTGGAGATGACCGTGGACTTCAGGAGGAGCCCCCCCCACTCTGGCCCCCATCACCATACTCAAAAGCCCTGTGTCTGCTGTGGAATCTTTCAGGTTTCTGGGATCCACTATATCCCAGGACCTGAAGTCTGAGCCCAACACTGACACCATCATCAAGAAGGCCCAGCAGAGGATGTACTTCCTGCGTCAGCTCAGGAAGCTCAACCTGCCTAAGGAGCTGCTGATCCAGTTCTACACAGCCATCATCCAGTCTGTCCTCTGCACCTCCGTCACTGTCTGGTTTGGATCTGCCACCAAAAAGGACAGGAGCAGACTACAACGGACAGTCAGGACTGCAGAAAAACTCATCGGTGCCAACCTGCCCTCCATTCAGGACATTTCCAGAGGCAGGTAACATCACTGCAGATCCATATCACCCCGGACACAACCTGTTCCAGCTCCTCCCCTCTGGGAGGCGCTACAGAGCACTGTACGCCAAAACCAACAGACTCAGGAACAGTTTCTTCCCACAAACATTGTGAGCATTGAACAATCCAAAGTCAAATTCCTGGTATGTGTACACATACTTGACAAATAAAACTGATTCTGATTCTGTCTGTTGTGGTCCTGTGATCCTGTGCAGGCTTTGTCACATTTGGTCTGCTACTGCGAGGATAATCAGCTGTTCTTCCTGTCTCCCTGTATCACTGTATGAGGCGTCTCGCAGTACGGACATTGCAATCTATTGCCCTGCAACATGGGCAGTCCTAACACCTCTCGCAGCATGCCTAGCGGAGCGGTAGACTAGCCACCTCTAGAGCCCACTAAAGCGTACACACTGAACCTTTGAATATTAGTTCAGGTTACACAGTTAGATTTGGTGAAAAGGCTCTGCAGCGACGAGGACTCTGCTGAGAGAACTGACCCTTACGATTATTTAATTATATATTTAATATTTAATGAAATTACTAGATATTCATATTTTTCTGAGCGAGGCAAGAAACCTTTGCCATCCATTCCTTAATCAAAGACGTCAAAACTACATGCACACAGACAGAACCAGTGTCTCCACAACATGCACATCACATGTACATGTTAGTGCTTGAACTTTTATAACCTCAGATCCCTGTGCACATACGAATCACCACATGCTCCTCCAGTGACTCTAAGTTTGGCACTTTTAAATGTCAGATCTCTTTTAAATAAGACCTTTCTTGTTAATGATTTGATCTTAGATGATAATATTGATTTTATGTTTTTAACCGAGACATGGTTAAACACAGATGGCCCAGCCACACTTATTGAGGCCTCACCACCAAACTACCACTTTGCATACTCCACTAGGAAAGGCGAGAAGGGTGGGGGTACAGCAACCATCCTGTCAGCCTCATTTGTTTTTAAGGATACTGCTTTTGGTGAATACACATCCTTTGAATATCACGCACTTAATCTTAGCAGCAACCCTCCAATACTGTGTATAGTAGTTTACAGGCCTCCCAAACGAAGTCCTTCTTTTATGTCAGATTTGTCAGATTTACTCTCAATCATCCACACAAATTTTAACAGAGTTTTAGGCGATTTTAACTTGCACATTGACAATACTTCAGACTTTTATCCTGGGGAATTTTTAAACTTGTTTAACTGTATGAATTTTATCCAGCACGCTACAGAACCCCTACAGAAAATTGTTAACCTGGGAGTTATTTTTGACTCAGATCTCAGTTTTGAGTCGCATATTAGAAATATTTCTAAGACCGCTTTTTATCATCTCAAGAACATTTGCTAGAGTACGACCCTTTCCCTCTCAAGCAAATATCCAGACACTTATCCATGCTTTTATTACCTCCGGGATTGATTACTGTAACGCTCTGCTTTCTGGTCTTCCAGAAAATAAAATCTCTAAACTGCAGCTGCTTCAAAAGGCTGCTTTCTGACCAGAAAGAGAACACACCTTACCCCTATCCTAAAGTCTCTGCATTGGCTTCCAGCTAATTTTACAATTGATTTTAAGATCCTTTTACTACTTTATAAGTCACTTAATGGTATTGGTCCAGAATACTTAACAGATTTACTGTCACTTTATGAACCTTCTAGAACCCTCAGGTCCTCTGGTAGTAGCTTTCTAATTATTCCTAAAGCCTCAACTAAAACTTATGGTGAGGCGTCCTTTCAATGTTATGGCCCGCGTTTGTGGAACTCCCTTCCTGTGGAGCTGAGAGCAGCAGGAAATCTGGAAATGTTTAAAGGCAAACTAAAGACATACCTATTTAACCAAGCTTTTAACTGAGCTGTATGTATTTGATTTAGTTTAAACGTTATTTATTTATCATACTTTTGCTATTGATGGGCTGCTTTTCTACTGCTTTTTGTTCTGGGGTCCTGGGGTTTTAGGGTTTTCGGGTGGCGGGGATGTTTTTACTATTGTTCTGAAATGGCTCTGTAGTGTGAAGCACTTTATACTACATGTATTTGTATGGAAAGTGCTATATAAATAAAGACTGACTGATTGATTTCATAGTCAAATACAGGTATATTGTAAAAGTGATTGCAGTAAGAACTGTTCCAAAAACAGATTTTCTGATGTCAAATTTGATAACAGATGAAAAAAAGTCCTGACAAACAATCTTTGTGAAAGACGTCTCTAGATTTAACACCTTCCTGATGATGACCAAAAAGTCTGTTTCTGAATGATATTGTTTTGGGTCATGTGATCACTGCAAAAGGGAAAAAGAAATATCCCTCTCAGCCCAAAGCAAATTGAAGCAATTCAGACCATCCTGCAATGAGAGACAAAGAAACAGGTAAGTTTACTTTTTATGGATGACAGTGCTCACATTAAGGCACCATGGGCAGAAACCGCACATGGGGAAGGCCTGAGATTTTATGTTGATTTAAAGCTGGCTCTTCAGTCTCC